GCCCAAATCAGTATGCTTCTGGAATTATGTGCTCTAAAAGCCCAGGCACCTAATGTGCCAGGTCTATAAGGGAACAACCTGCACAGCCAACACGGAACGCTTCTGCAACCGGCTCCAGTGGCTGGGACCTGAACAGTGGCTGCTAAAAGCAAAATGGCACACAGGACTACTCCCTGGCCCTTTCCCACGGGCAGGAGAAGAGGAGGGCTCCTCTTCCTTTCCAGCCGCAGGCCTTGCAATACCCGCCTGGCACCTCTTCGTACAAGCCCAATGGAGTTACCCTGCAGGCCAGGCCAGTTCCAGGTGCTCCCACTCCATCCACCCCAGCCCTGTAAGCCATGTGGGTCCTCATTCTTGGTATGGACAAAAAGGGGCCACATGTGAAACCTGACAAGCTCCGGAGACTGAAAATAACCACATAGGATGGCACAAACATAAAAATTCCTAACTAAGGCAGGCCATGGCAGGAAGTCACATCTTTAGCCTGAAGCTTTCTTGATTACATCAGTCTTTACCTTAAGTGAGCCTGTCTACTATCTTTATGCACCTAAGATAACATCCTTGGAATGTCAGTAATCCCTTTTTTCTGGACCAGAGCAGGAAACTACAGAATCCCACCTTGTCCCGATTCTCATCTCTATGTGCTGTAAAAAGTGAACTAGTAACTATCCTGTACCCACCTATGTAGAGGAAGTACCTGTTGCTCCAATTTACTTTTATCCAATCCCAGAGATTTCCCCGCTTTGCTTTCTCCCACCCCCTTAATCTACCACCAATGGGTTTCATGTAAACCTTCCTCCCTTGATTCTATGTATAAAATAAGCTGCAAACCGCCATTTTGTGGAGCATTTTCTCAGTCCACTGAGATTTTGCTTCCTGGCAATTGTTGTCAGTTTGGCTCAAATAAACTCTTACAAGCTTTCTCTTAGGCTGGATGGTTTTTCGACACTGAAAAGCTCCATTCTTGACAGTCTGGTCGCAATCAACGTGGTGGGTGTTGGGGAGGGGACAGCCCCCTGGAGGGCTCTGTGGCCTTAGTCCAGGATGAAACTCTGGGGGTGGGAAGGGGACAGGAATGACAGATATACTGTGTCACACAGAGGGCTGAGGGTTGAAGGCCCCACAAACCAGGAAAACCCAGCCTTCCTTTGCCCCGAGGGGCGAGACCTTCCAAGTCACCCACCTACGATGAGTCCAACCTCACAGGTGGGCTCCTCATAAGCACAGGTCATCATGGTGCCCACCGTGTCATTGACCACAGCTACCACGTCCAGGTCAAATTCCTTTGGAAAGAAAGGGACACAGCTTTAGCTTCAGGGTAGGGACAGCGCTGCCTGGCTTGAATTCTGCAGGTTCGCTGGCTGTATTACAGGCAAAAAAACGCTGGTGCATCATCTGAAATAGTTTTCTTACCAGCCTGTCAAAGGCAATTAAATGCTCCTTCACTGACTAAACATCTATTAATGATGTATGTGAAGTTTGAGATCTAAAGAAAGGAAGTATTCCATTTCACAGATGGTACTGAATATCTGAGGCGGCCTGGAGGGAACTGTTCAATGGAGAAAAGACAAGGGACCTTGGCAATAGCTCTTTCTCTTGAGAGTTTCAAGTATTACAGCCTTTCGGAGGGCAAAATGAGAACACCAAATCCAGCTCTCAGAATCCGTCCTTCAGAAATAGCCACGCAGGTACACAGAGGCACATGTACAAGGATGTTTACCGCGTGACTTGTGCGAGCCAGAAACAACCCACAAACAGATCAAAAAGGGCTCTGGGAAGCACAGCTCAGCCAAACATGGGAACCCTGTACAGCCAGGAAAAAGAATGGGGCTGGTCTATATGGACTGATACGAAAAGATGCCTTTTTCAAAGTACACGAAAAAAAAGCAAGCTGTAATACAGTCAGTATACATGGTATGATTCCCTTTTTTTTTTTTTTTAAATATATGTATGTCTGTTGGTATATTCATAGAAAGTAAGCTGGAAGAACACTAACGTGAGAAAACGTGTGGAAAGAAATGTATAAAGTAATAAAAAATAAAATAAAAAAAGAGTTGTGAAATGGGCAAAAACAGATCATTGGGTTTCTTTTCAGTGAAATAATAGCTGCTGTCCGGCCTACTCTTCCAGGTGCAACCAACCCCTCTTTTAAACCGGTTCATTCCAGTCTTCTGGATTGCCTCTGCATGTGCCTGCTCTTTTGAATTGGAGATGTTTAAAATGTTTTGTTTTGTTTTTTTAACTTCTTACTGATTCTCTAATAGCTGGTGAGTTAAATAAAATCTCTGGAATTGTTCATTTTATATTTTGTCAATGTTTTCCAGCCAAAGACGAATAGAAACCCATTTATATTGAAACAAAGCTGGGTTATTGAGTGCTTGAGACTGGGACAACTCAGAAAGTGTCAGAAAACACTTGTATAGGATTTGAGCCTGGGTTGATGGTTTCAGGCAGGGTTCAGAAAAATGAGGCTTTCCTATGGGTTGGGTGCTGCCAGGAAGCAGGGCAATTCTCTGAGTGTGTGCTGATGGCTGCTGTGCTTATAGCACACTCTTAGTCTTGTCCCGCTCCATCACAGTCACGGAATAGCTGTGATGCTGCTTGTGTTCTGTGACACTGTTTGTGTCCAACAGGAAAACCCCAAGTCCTGACTGATGGTACCAGGCTGTGCCTAGCTGTCAGGGGCTGCTTTTCTCTTTTTCAATCTGTAGGAGAGTCAAGATTTTACCTTTTTAAACAAACTATTGCTTTAACAATACAAATTTGTTCACCTCTGTTTTCTTGCTGACCGTCGGAGGGATCTCTGTACCCAGGTCACATGCTTTTGTATTGTTTGAGTGCTTTATGACCAGCAAGTATGATTTTTATAACCCAAAAGCAAAGTAAAGATTTTTAAAAACATCCTTTTAATAGTTACCTCTCTCCTTTTTATCGCGTCCCTTAGTAAGGTGGCTACATCGTTCCCCACGCAGTCGGTGGCCTTAAACCCCTTTGTCCAAGTGATCAAGATTCCCTGAAACAGGAAAGGCACCAGGAAGTCCTGTGTAATTAGCCGTTTTTGAGAACACAAAATTCCCTCCTTCCTGAGTAAACGTCTGCTGAGAACGTACAGTGAGACTATCCTGGAGTAACTGAGGCACAAACCCATTAAAACAAATAGTCCTCCACAGGCCTTCCCCCTCCTTGCTGTCCTCACAGCAGTCTGGTTTATAATCCCCACGTCACGGGTGGAGAAATTGAGGCCTAAAAGGTGAAAGGTGCTGCCCCTGATGTAACCAACTAGTTCCCCTGAAGAACAATTTGCCAATTACATAAGTGGAGAGACGCAAATTTTTAATGAGACTGTTACTACCTAAAGTAAACTTTAGGTTTGATTGGATGGCAGTTTTGCACACGAGCTGGGTGTGTACTCACTACAACAGTATAGGTGAAGTGCAAAAAAACAAGTTTATGTGGATCCCACTGCTGAGATCTACAAGGCCTTAAAAGGAAAAGCGCCCCAATCAGCGCCGCGCCTGGCTTGCAGAGGCAGGTGGCCCTACCTGGTTTCCCAGTTCTGCCAGTCATATGCCTCAAACCCTGGCCTCAGGCCCTATGAGAGGCCTCCTCCCTGTGACATACACAGGCACCTGCAGCTCTTCCAGGAGGACAGGCTTGGTCTTGCTCCATGACTCTGCACAATAGGCTCCCCCTGCACAGAAATATGCCCTGGCCCCCACCCACAGCCCTCAGTGCTGTGTGGGAGCTGCTGGTGTGGGGCTGGGGTCCTCCAGACTGGGGGCTCCCTGAGGACAGGAACTGGAACCTTCAGCTCTGTACCCAGCTCTTAGGACTCAGCAGATGCTCACGCCCTGACCATGGACCGTTTCATCCCATTTATTAAACAAGCATTTATTAAGTATCTCTTCCAATAGAACTCTGCGCTAAATCGTGTGGAAAACACAGGTCTTTGCTCAAGGTGTAAGCGACATAATCACTAAAAACTGTGTAAAAAGTGCTATAATAGGGCAACATTAGAAGGAACAGGGAACACAGAGAAGGGTGGGATTTTTTTTGTCTAGAGGACCAGAAGGCTTCCCAGAAGAGGTAAACGCTTTAAATGATAAAAGAAGAGTAGAGTCTTAAGATGTACTGGAGGGTGTGGCATAAAGGGGATCAATCCACTGTGACATCTAAGCCATCCCCGATACTGAGGGATGACAATGAGACTGGAGGAGGCCTCAGGAGCCAGCCCATGCTGGCCATGGGACAAGTCAGCGCTGCCCAGTGTCTGACTCCTGGAGGGAAGAGACTCACCGCATCCAGACTTGTCTGCTTGCAGGGAAATGAGAACGTGAAGCCCAGAGGCATTCTGGGGCCTTTGATCCCCATGTAGTCCAGGAAATCAGAGATGCAGGAGACGATGTGGTCAAATAGCTTTCAGAAAAAAGAAGGGGTTACCCATGAGTTCTCTGGTTTTGTGCTTTCAGTGCATATGTACAAATGCACATGAGCACACCACATAGACACACACCCTGTCACACACAGAGCAAGTCCCCCTCTCCAGGATCTTTGCAGCCCTGAGCATCATAAGCCCAGTACCTGATGCTTTCAGGCCACAAGGCCACAACTGCATGGCTACGGGCATCACATGGCAGGTTTGGGGGAAGACCAATGCCACTGGCTGTGTGTGTGACACATACATGCCACAGTGGTGTAAAAGCAAAGCCATCTCACCTCTTCCCCAGTGCCCTGCATGATTTCAATGGGAATGGCATAGATCTTGTTGTGCATTTCCACCGTTCTCTTTTTCCCACTACGGATTTTCACCAGCAGGACACGGAAATTTGTTCCTCCAAGATCCAAAGCCAAGAAGTCACCATGCTCTGTTGTAGTTGAGAACATAAAGAATATCAAAGGCGGCGGTCTGCTCCCTACACAACCAGTGCCCAGCCGGTTGGTGGAGAGGTGAGGTGCGGCGGCCCAGGGATCGGCCAAGCCAGGACCAGGGAGGGGGTACATTCTGCAGTTCCCTGATGAACCAAGGGAACCCTCCACCGTATCTGGGCCCCGGTCCGACGGTCCGACGGCCCCATACCCACTTTATCCACAACCACCAATGGGGCCTGAGGCCTACCCTCCAGGACCTATGGGAGGATCCTATCCACCTCCCCAGGGGTACCCTTACCAAGGATACCCACAGTATGGCTGGCAAGGAGGACCTCAGGAGCCTCCTAAAACCACAGTGTATGTGGTGGAAGACCAAAGAAGGGATGACTTGGGCCCAACCACCTGCCTCACAGCCTGCTGGACTGCCCTCTGTTGCTGCTGCCTCTGGGACAAGCTCACCTGACCAGTCCGACCCTGCTGTCCTGCCAGCTCTGCTGCCACCTCAGGTGTGCCCGCCCCATCTCTTCTGATTGCTAAAATAAATGACTAGCTCTGCACAGACACTTCTACCTTCAATACCGTGGGATTCTAGATTAGTAAGGGTTGCTGCTGTTTAATTCAGTGACTTGATCTTTCTAATGCTCGAAATCCAGTTCTTATAGGCCTTTCACAAATGTACTAAGTGACACTCCTTTTGCTTTGTTTTTTTTTGGCCAAAGGCTTATGAAATATATATTTATAATTTTTAAATGATACATTCAAGGCAGTGGCATAATGTAACATACCATTGAATGATTTCTTTGCTAACGCCCTGGATGTTTCAATAAATTTGTCTAAACCTCAAAAAAAAAAGAATATCAAAGGCACTGTCTTTGCTAGGCTCCAGAATTTCAAGGGGGAAACCCCCATATTAAATAAAGGGGAGAAGCTAGCTATAAGTTTTTCCTCCAGCACATAGCTCAGGCTCAGAAAGGGGTGGATACTAACTCACTGACTACCACAACCTTTGAGCCACACTAGAAAGACAAAAGGTCCCATGGATGAACCACTTGTCACAACAAACAAACTTCACCAGGGTTACTAAAAAGCTTGGCAACAATGACCTGATTTTAGGGAACCTCATACAAAAGTTAATAATATATGTCAGTGTGTAGAGTGTTTGCAAAAATGGCCACCATTATTCCCTTCCCTGTATACATGCTTCTTTGCAAAGTGACACTGCAGTTCTTCCCATCAAAAGATGGAGTCTTTTTCTCCTCCCCTTGGATTTGGTCCAGCCTATGACTTGTTTTGACCAACAGACTGTAGCAAAAGCAAAGCTGAGCCATTTCCAGCCTAGGCCTCCAAGAGGCTTTGAAATCTTCCCTCTCCCTCGTGGACCCTGCTGCTACCACGTGAACAAGTCCAGTGGCCAGGCACTCCTGCACCCCAGCTGACAGCTAGCCAACTGCTGGACATGTTAGGGAGGCCCCCCAGCTGACTCACCAGTGAGTGCCTGCAGACACATGTATGAGTCCAGCAGAGGTCAGGTGAGCCTGGCCCAGATGAGCAGTAATAAATTGCTGACACACAGACCCGTGAGCAATACTAAATAAATGGTTGCTGCTTTAAGCCACCAAATTTGAGGGTGGTTTATAATGCGATAATATAAGGTAACTTACACATAGGACATACTCACATCACAAACATTCATTACTCCGAGGACCCACCTAAGAAGCCCTTCAGAGTCCCCATAGTGCTCAGCAACAGTGAGGACCAACAAGATCACCATTAAGCACTGAACTCTGTTCTCCAATCTGCCTGGGTGTCAAAATCCCCGGGCCCCTGACCACCTAACGCCACCTTCCCAGGACCTAGGAAGGGTGCATGGGTGTTTATCCTTCCGCTGCTTTCCTGTGTTCGTGAGAGAACCTATAACATCTCAGAGCTGCAGGATTTGCCCAGTTTTGTTCTTTTAAGAACACTTTCTAATTCTGTGCAGGGATGTGGTTTTAGAGATGGTGTTTGTCCAGGAGGCCTGACCAGGGGACAGCAACTGCTCTGAGTCACAGACGAGGCAAGTCAGTGGTAAAAACGGAAAAGAAGAGTTTGGTGAGTTGCTAGCTCGTCCCCAAATCATGCAACCCCAGTGTAAATGCATCCAGTGGAGAAGCCAGCCTCCCTGCTGCCCCACTGTGACTGGGTCATTGGTCTGAGGAACAGGAAAGGGCATATCGGCCCCCGACAGAGGAGAGGCCCTCACCAGTCCCGTCTGGAGTACTCCGGACAAAGGAAGGCAGCATCTTGACTACGGCCTTATCATTGGTTTGCTTCTGCAGCCCCATGTCCATCTCAGTCCGCATCCGCTTCTTCACCTCCAGCAGCATTTCCTTGGTGAGGCTGAAGTGGGCCAGGGTCTCCTCTATCTGCCGGTGCTGCTCTGCCAGGCGGTATGCCACCGCCGTCACCATGGCAGCCCCCTTGCCGCTGCCACTCTCCGAGAGGAGGAAACGCACATCAGAGTCAGGCACCAAGCGCCTCAGGGTCTTGTGGAAACGCCGGGCGTACCTGGGGGAAGGGGGGTGGGGCACATAGCTGGACTGAGCCATCTGTCAGGAACCTCTGGCATCGCTTTCTTTTTTCACATTTTAATTCCATTTTCTACACTTAGTTATCTATTATACAAGTCATACACATCCGCGGTAGAAAAGTTAACAAATGCAGACAAGGAAAAAGGAAACATAAGATCATCCAACAGTCACACATAAAAAGAGAGGATCCTCATTAGTATTGAATACAGAAACTCAGGGTCCAAAAAGGATTCTGTCCTCCACCATGACAAGGAGATAGTGGTCAAAAGCCCAGTGCTTTTTTTTTGACAGTCAGACAGGAGACAATGGTGAGTGAACTCCACCACTTCCACATCAGGTGACCTTGGGCCCGTTACTTAACCTGGGAGTCAATGAGGATGACAGTATTTGGCCAACAGTGACGTGATGGGAACTGCGCTCAGGTCACTCAATGTGGAGATTAGTAACTAGTGCTGAGGAAAGACGGCTCAATAAATAAACCACTCTTGTTTTTTATTTTCCCTTGGCCCTTCCCCCCTCCCTCAAGAGTCTGGACATTTTTTTAGTGGCTACAAGAGGAGTCAGTGAGACAGAACTTTTTTCAAAGTTTGTGGTCTGTTGTAAGTAAGGAAGGCTGCCTTCCAAAGGAAATAGGGAAACTGGAACCCATATTAACAGGGGTCAGCTCCAGGGGTGGGGTTAAAAATGACTTCTATTCTCTTTGTAGTGTTTTGAATTATCCAAAGTTGCTATACCAAATATATGTAACTTCTGAAATAAGAAACATTTAACCAAAGTTATTTTTTAAATGTGATGTTGCAGATGAAGGGTTCTAAAATGGCTGCTCAACAGTGTGAATGTACTTAATATTACTGAACTGTACACTCAAAAATGGTTGAGATAGTAAATTTTATATTATGTGTAATTTACCACAATTAAAAAAAAATTTTTAATGGGATGTTGCAAATCTCTAAGCCTTCTTGTCAAAAAAGAATTTGCCAAGAAATCCCCACCCCCACCCCAAAAGACTGCTAGTTTCATTCCAAGAATTTTACAAATACTTTCAGAATACAAAGCAATAAGATATGGCCCTGGCAGATAACAACATCTCACTAGCTCAAAGTCTATCCCCTCAGCAACACAGACCTATTTCAATTTAAGTCAACAACATTCATTTAACTATCACTAGAACTGGGTGTGGAGGTACAGTATGTGCGTGCACATTACATATTCAGTGGAAAAAATATTTGAGGTCCCGTACAAAAATCATGTCACAGGCAGTTATTGTCAACACTCAGCATATAAAGACTGAGACTTCACCTTTAGCCTTCAAACAGGGCACAAGCCATGTTCACAGTGGCCACAGAAGACTTCTGAAGTGAAGGCACTCAATAGACAAGAAGGCAGCATGACGATTAAGCCGTCATCATCAACGGGGACTACTTACAACGTACCGCTCTCTGTGGCTCTCAGATGCAAAGTGTCGACAAGTTGCCCATTTACAAAGGTAATGTCTGAAGGTTTGGGGGACTTTCACAGGAGCTTCTAAATCGGGAATGTGGGCACTGCACCCATGACCCAAACTACAGTGAGGATGAAGGTCCCTGATGAAATGCGGACAAGTGAGAGAACTAAAGATACAGACACATTCCACCCAGCGCTCCTGACAGCTCTAGAAATCTCTCACAAGACTTTTGAAATGAGGAGAGATGACAGTGATGCAACACCAGCAAGAAATGGCTGAGGGCCAGATACGTCCCATGTGGATAAATCTGACCTTTCTGCCCAGAACTAGGGATGGCCTTGTCTGCAAGAAGAAAACCTTCACTGGGTGCAAAAGTCTGACCTCTGGAGAAGTCCTTAGCCCAGATGGGTACTGAGTGCCAATTAGAGCAAAGGGCAGACTCACTGTGGGTGCGTCTTGTAAAGAGACCCGTCGACACCAACCGTGGTCCGCAGCCTGGGGGTGCCCTTGTTATCTCGAAGACGATTCAAGATGGCGCCCAGCGTTGCCGCCACCAGGTTGGCAGAGCGAAACGAGACAAGGGTGCACACATGCTGGACCGAAATACAGTCGTCATCAGATGGTTCCACTCCCAGGCGGGTCAGGATTTCTTTGGCATTGTGGAGGCCTTCTTTATTCCTGTGAGGTTAGAGGCCAATACTTGTGAGTTAAAGAGCTCATTAGACAGTGCAAAGCACTGAGGTTCAAAGATCCTGGAAAGGTGAACTCCATTCACCGGGTGCATGATGGTATTAAGACAGTCAAATGCCTGAAAAAAGCTTGAGAAGGGTTTTCCTCCATAAGCAATACCAGGTAGTAGAAGGAAAAATTGTCCTGTGCTAGGTTATGACATGCACATAGGAGAGAAGGAGAGAGGTGAGACCACAGGGCCTCCAAACAGCTGGAAACCCAGCTGCTTCCCTGCCAAGGCTCGGTGCTCAGGAGGCCTGTGGGAATCACCTGCTCTTTGAGTCTGAGCTGCCCCTGGATACTTACATGTTCTTCCTTGATGTTTTCCAGTCAAATTTTTTTTTTGCATACACACTTAATTTTTTGCATACACACTTTGTGTATCTATTGTTGGATTCATTCCAAGGTACTTCACTGTTCAGTTACTATTATAGATGGTGTCTTTTAAAAATATACACATATTCTCTCTGTTTTTCTTTAATGCACCATTGTAAAGTAAGACGTTGACAATGGGGAAAACTGGGTGAGAGATTGTGAAACCACTCTGTATTCTCCTTGCAACTTTTCTGTAAACCTAAAAATATTCTAAAAGGTTTATTTTAAACATAGATACACATTTTAATTATTGCCAATATATAGAAACATAATTGACTTTTGTATCATCTCTCCAGACATCTTCATAACCTCTCCTGTTATCCTATTTACTTGTCTAGATATGTTTTCGTGTTTCATACAGACAATCACCATCTGCAAATAATGACCGTTTTACCTCCTCTTTTTTTATTCTGATACCTGAAATTTCTTGTTCTCTTTTTCTTATTCTTTTAAACCCTAGCCAAGACTCCGGGACAATGCCGAGCAGAAACAGGTGATACTGTTGTGCTCCTGATTTTAAAGAGAATGCTTATACCATCTGCCATGGCAGGATGTTTTTACTAAGGTTTTCTGAGATAGCCTTTATGACAACATACATGCTTTCTTGAGCTAGTTCAAGTGGGGCTTTGTTTCTTTGTCACCAAAGAGCCAACACGAGATGCAGACCAAAAGGCAGGCAGGCATTTCATGACTTTGTCAATACTCTAAAGACAAGCCATGAGCCGCCTGCTCCCCTCCCCAGGAGACATGAGAAGAAAGGCGGTTGGAAACTCAGTCGCATGCGCCCTGTGTATTGTAGCTCTGTACCAATCGCTCCTGCAGCAGAGTGATCCTAGGACAAACACCAGTATTGATGTGACAGAAGAGCAGGTCCAGATAAACTCCTTTCCACTTCCATCGGCCTCCTTCTCTAACCACAAAGACAGCTGATGCACATCTTCTCCCAGGAGCCGGAGCTACGAAGCTACTGGCTCTCTGAATTTCCAGGACAACGGCAGGGACAGTGAGAATGACAGCACTGTACAGGAATGAAAGCGCATTTCTAGCACTAAGCTAGCCCTAACTTTAAGCAGGTGGCCCTCCATGGCTACAGGGAGTCTCCCAACCCAGGAACAGAACCTGGCAGCACACGGAAGCTGGCCACAGGACAGGAGTCCTTTAGACTTGGAGGCGCCTGACAACGTAGGACTGCCACAGGGTCAAGTCTACCTTCTTCCCTCTCAGGGTGAAGGCCTACAAATAACAGTTGTGGTAGAGAAGTCTGGTTTTCTTGTGTTGAGGCCAAACGGTAGCAGTCAGGGTGCCGGATGCCCTCTGTCCTTCTGTGTTTATCTGCTCTGTCTCGTGTGTTGCTCAAACTTGTGCCAGGGAACACTTCTTCTGGCTGTTAACCAAAATGCACTGGGTTTTCTGTAATATGCTAATAATGCTGTAAATCTCTAAATGGAGAATAAATATGCAGTATGTCCCAATCCCACTGGCCACAGAACACTTTCTTCAGGGAACAATTATCTTGAATCACTAGGGTTCCCTGGAACATGGTCTGGAGAAAGTCCTGATATCCCAAGGAGGAAGTCCAAGCCCAGGCCCCGGGCTCCGTCAGCTCCTAGTTCACCACTAGAATCATCTGTAATCTCACCCTGTTGGGGAGGGAAGGCAGAGGGGCAGAGGGAAGGATGAGAGGCTGCTTTTGTAACTAAGTCATCCATGAAGCACGTGCTGCTAACTAACATTCTTTAACAAGCTGACACGAGGTGCCTGCAGGGAGGCCAGCCCGGGATGGGTCAGCTAAGGGAGGGAGATGGACCCAGAAAGTCCTGGCACTCTTGAGGGAGAAGCCCATCAAACCAGAACTCAAGCGGTAACAAGGGACCTGTCACTCTTCTGCCCCAACTTCACTCCCCTCTCCCCCAAAAAGCCTCAAGAGGTGGCACCTACTTTTCGATGGCTGAGACATCATTAGTGTTAAACTTCCCTCTGGTGAGCAGCTCTGGGGTGATTCGCCCTTCAAATAAAAGGCCCTCCTTGGCCATCTTGACTAGGATCAGCCGAACCAGCTCCCCCAGGTACATGCCACTGACCATCTTCTCAAACCTGCAGGAGAA